ACTAAAAAATGCCAAAGTCTCTTTGTCTTGCTCCTTCAGCTCTGATAAAAACAACTTTCCTGAAGCAGCTGGCATTCCACACACGGATATTCCCAGCATGATCCCCACAATCAGAGCAGAACTTCTCGAGTGTTGCATAAGGAAGCTGAGGCTGCTGCCAGCACTAGTATTTTTATCTGAAGCAGCAGGCTCATCGCTGGGTTGAGTGTGAAAGTGTTGCTGCTTCCAGAACGGAAGACAAGTCTCAACTGACTTCTGCTCTGGAATCATGTCTGGAAGATACAACCAGCCATTTGCACATTTGAGGGGTAATCTCTAGAAAGCTCAGAGTGATTCCCTGCAGAGGTGTTTGTTTCAACAGCTACTTCCCAACCTTCTGTAGACTCACATCCTTTTTTCACAAGGGTCCCAGTACGCATTTTTAAAAAGGAAGGATAATAAAAGCCCTTCAGTAAAGAAGATCAAAGCAAAACAAACCTTACCTCACAAATCTTTCCTAGAGCTGTACTATCCAATACCATGGCCAGTGGCCACATGTGGCTACTGAGCACTTGAAATGTGGCCACTAAGACTGAGGAACTGAATTTCAAATTTTGTTTAATTTAAATTAAAATATAAAAACTTTAGGGTAAAATATTTTTCTGTTAGACACAACTTTCTTGTTTAGGTAGGACTCCATTTCACTAGGACTTTTTGAGCGGTGCAAACGGTTAACACACTTGGCTGCTAAACGAAAGGTTGGAGGTTTGAGTCCACCCAGAAGCACCTCAGAAGAAAGGCCTGGTGACCTACTTCTGAAACTTCAGCCATTAAAAACCCTATGGAGCACAGTTCTACTGACACACACATGGAGTCGGAATACACTCGAAGGCAACTGTGTGTGTGTTTTCCCATTTCACTTTAACCACTGGTTATGTAGCTAACTATAATTAGTGGTCACAACTCACAGATACTTCAAAAAAAAACTGGCTGGATTGATTTGAACAAAATATGGGTGCTCAGTCTCTCACAGATGTGGAACCTCACCGGGAGAAAACATGAAGGCAGGTGTCGTTCCTTCCCACAGAACTGCTCCAGGCACAGGGACCACGGACTGGGTCTCAGAGCTGCTCATGGACTGAACAACAAAGGGCAGTCACTGATTTGATCAATTTCAGGGTGGCAGATGACTCTAGTGCTCACGGGGAATTTAAGAACTGGTGTGTGACAGACTTCCAGGTTTCAAGGACAGCACAACATTTGAACAATGGTGTTTCATTAGGAACTAACAGAGAGTCGTCGTGCTACATAAGAAACATGGCGTACAAAGATGCTTCAAGGTTTGCTGGAGGAAGGTTTGCTGAAAGGGAAGGTTTGGGAGTTGCAGTCATGGCCTCTGTGCCCCCTTACTCCCTCCTCCAGCAAGGAGGCAGAGTGGCATCAGATTGGAGAATTTCTGAGAAGTCATGGAGCATGGAAACCTCTATCCCTTCTCCCCCTACAGGACCGGGGCTTTTTGCAAAGCCACTTTGATGTGCTAAGGACACAAGCCCTTGGCTGGTTATCTGATGACAGGCGTGGAGGTCCTTCTCTCATTGTCCCACGATGGGGCCAGTGGCTGTGGGGCTGGGTTTCAGGGTAAGTGTGCCTTCCCTCCTAGATAGATGAGGCCCCTTCTTCCCTGCAGGAGGCTGCGCAGGGCCCTGACTGGGTGTGGGGAGCTTGATGGTGGCTGCAGATCCATGCCATGTTCTCCAATTCTACTTCATAACCTTAAAACTGATATTTTGATTTCCATCTGTCTCAGCTGTGTCTCACTTCTTAACTGGCTCTGGATTTGATGTGTGGAGAGAGACATAGTAATTGTCATCCCCAAACCTCCCAACAGTGCTTTTCAAAACAACTACAACAACAACAGCAGCAGCAGCAGCAGCTGCAGCAGCACAGTGATGTTTCATGTGTGTCTTTTTTTATATTCCTTTGATGAAAGCCAAGGCAGAAGTCAGAGTTCTGTAAGGGAATATTTCTATGGAAAGCAGGTTAGACGTTATGCAGGTTTGCACAGGTTGCTCGAAAGCTGAAGTGCAGGAGTCTGGAGTTACAGCCGAGAAGACGGGCTGTGCCTGTGGTGTCTGTGTGTACGCGGTGTGCTGAGCATTGCTTAGCTCAGGTACCGTGATGGTGCTCTCGTCAGCTCATTTTGTAGGCCATGTCAAAATTACATTGACATTTTTCGTAAACCGACCTTAGCTGTCATATATATACAGACATTTGGAGTTTCTGTAATTGAACAATGCAATCTGGTCGTAGGGAAGGCAGATGCATAAGAGCACAGAGACTGTGAAGCATGAACACTTCAGCAAATGCAGGATTAATTAGCAACATTTTAAAGGTGTTCTATATGCCAGTCTCCAGAAAAAAGCTAGTATCTATTACAGAAACAGAGCTAGTGAGTGATTTCGGAGAGCCAGAGAAAGTCTGTTGAGGCAGATTAGTGGGAGAGGCAGGTAGATGGAAACCAGAATGCACTTTAGTAATGATGACAGTAGGTAGTATATATGAATACAACTAGGGTGGCAAGAAATCCTTAACAATGCAAAGCGAGTGACAAACTTGAGATGGAATGGGATATTCTTCTGGTGGTTGGCTATTTAAATAGATTCGTGCAGTGACTAGAAGCTCACAGTTTTCCAGTTCAAAAGAATAAATGGTAGAATGAGAGACAGGTTAATAACATGAAACAGAAAATAAGATGGTATCTCCACAGCCTATTTTTGATGTTTGATACCCATGATTCCATATCCTGTAAGTAAACACAAATCTTCCATTTTATTCTGAAAGCCTCAAGAATGTAACTGAAAGTGCTTTGTATTTTTGTTTCTAAAGAAACTATATTTTAAATGTTTCACTCAAGGTTCTGAAGAAGAGATTTCATTTACTAGCAAGACATGTGGACAGAAAATCTTTTTTACTATCCATGGATAAGAAAATATAGAGAGGTATTCATTTGTCACAGGAAAGTCTCCCCAAGAAATGTGCACTAAGCTGTGATTAATGCTAAGAATGGGTTTCTTTAAAAATTCCAAACAAAATCACCTCCAGGCTCTGGGGCTGCTAAAGGCAACTCTATCAGTAGTCAGAGACTGTCTGGAGACCTATGTCACCCAGTGACGGCAAGCAGAAAGGAAACCAAACACTTGGTGTGTGTGTTAGTTAATTTTATGTGTCAATGTGGCCAGGCTATGGTATCCAGCTGTTGGGTCAATCGTTGGCCTATATGCTGTTATGAAGCAGTTACATGTGATTAAATCAGTTGGCCTTAAGTAAAGCATAATGTGGCCTTAAGAGCAAAAATGGTTTCCCTAGGGTGTATTCTGCCTCTAGAATATAAACAGACATCTCGCCAGAACTTCTTTACTTTTCACATCATTTTGGGACACAAGACTACAAGAATCTTTAGCCTGTCGCCTGACCTATGGATTTTGGACTTGCCAGGTCCCCACAATCATGTGAGCCAATTCCTTAAAATAAATCCACCCACTCACCCATCCATCCATCCATCCATCCGTCCATCTTCCTCATTCGGTTTCTCTGGAGAACCCTGACTAAAACAGCGTGCACGGTCTTGGTCTGCGAGTCCATCTGCTCATGAGGTCCTCACCAGCCACAGCATGCTCAGATCAGCTGTACTGCCAAGGTCCAAGCGAGGACACAACCTCCTCTGATCAGCACAGCCCTGTTTCTCAGGGCAGGCTGTACACGCTTCCCTTCTGTGAACAGTCTTCTTTATTCCCCAGCTCTGTCCCCTGGATCCAGAGCCTTTTCAAGTCTAAGCTGCCTCTTGCAACTTCTGAGTCTTTTATGAGCTGGGGCTGATCTTCATGATCTTCATCCTTCTTCGTATCCCCCTCGATTGTTTTCCACTTAATCTATATCTCCCATGAGGCAGTAGCTATTTTCTCCCCAGGGGAGCACTCTGCACTGACTTTCCATGTCCCTCTGTCAGAACCTCCCATTTACAATCCTAAGTGGCAGCTTCTCTTTCACACTGTAAGGATGAAATAGCCTCCTTCCTAAAGTGCCCCTGCAGTATCGACTGTCTGAGGTTCCTGCTACTCAATCTATCTGTATCTTTACTTTCAGCCCCGGAGCCTTAATCTCAACGTGCCCCACGAGGAAAGTAGATCGAATTAGGGGAGGACAGTACATACAGCTCCTGAGACATAGCAGGAAAGATCGCGATGAGGCAGTCACTGTCCTGTGTGGCAAATGCTTGTTCCTTATGATGTTTTTAATTGGTCAGGATTTTGAAATCTGGCATAAAGAGACCATCTTCCTGAATCATTTCATCTCAAACCACCATACACCTCCTACCTTGGAGAACTCTCTCCCTGAATTACCATCTTGACTTGATCTAGAGAGCAAGCGACACTGATATCTGACCTACTGAGACCAGACTTGCCTGGGGGTGCTGGAGGAGCAGGGCTCTTGAAGTGAGGCAGGACATGCAGAGCCCGGCCAGCAAAGCAGAAAGGAGGCCAGAGAAAGCCCAGCCTAGATTATAAAACTAACAACACTATTTCATCTCATACTGGGAATTCATTATAAACTTAATAACAGCTCTAGAAGGAAAATTCATGATTGCATAATCTTTCTAAAAAGTCCTTTATGTTGTAAAATACCAGCTACTAATTAAAATCGGAAAATGCTCAAGCTAATGAGGTTTACAGCCAAACAGCATTTACCAACAGGTGCCTTTTGTGATTGTAGTTCTTTTCTGGAGTCCCTGGGTGGTGTAAACTGTTAAAGGAGCTCAGTGGCTATCTAAAAAGTTAGACGTTCAGGTCTACCCTGAGGCACCTCGGAAGAAAGTCCTGATGATCTGCTTCCAAAAAAATCAGCCACCGAAAACCCTCTGAAGCACAGTTCTACTGTGTAACACATGGGGTTGCCATGAGCCAGGATCAACTCAACAGCAACTAGTTTCACTGGTTGTTCATTCCTGGATATGTATTTGCCCAGTTCTGCCACTTCACTCTCATGATTCTGACACAGTGCAGGGTTATGCCCTGGCTTTGTCTTATTATCACTCTTCTATTTCTTTTTTTGGTATGAAAAACACTGTAAATGATATGTCAAAGAAATCAACATTCTTGAGCTCTTCAGGGTAAAAAATAACACTTACTTTTTAATTTTACCATTGTATTTTTTGATGTGTGTATCCATCTGATCATATTGTACTGTAAAGTGTTTTGCCATCATCATTCTTTTAAAAGAGGTATCAGAAACACACTTTTAATAAAACAGGATTTTAAAATCAGAAAATGATAACCAGAGGATAAAGGATGCTTTGACAGTAAACCCTATAAAATGAAGCTTAAACGTCATTTTACACTTTATGTTTTCAGTTTTTTAATAGTTTTAACAATTACTTTACCCAGAACCCCCAAATCATCCAAAAACACCATAAGTACAATTAGCGTATTTTCAAAAGCATCTTTTCAATAAAGATGGCTGGCTAAGAAATAAAGCAAAAAAGGCAACAACCCCAAATGTGTACCCCAAGCCCACTCTGGAAGCATTTAGTGAACAAGCGTCTCTCTTGCATACTAAGCAGGCTGGTCAGGCTTGGCCCAGAATTCCTGAATAATGATGACTTGCCCACAAAATTTCCCTTACAGTTATGCAATGCTCCATTTATAACTATAATAGTCCAGAACCAATACTAATTCAGCAGCATTTTTCAGGTACTTGAAAGTATACTTTTCAAATACAATATCTATGCATAATAACAGTGATTAAGGTATATTAGGGGAAAATGTAGGCTTAACAAAACATTGCTGAAACATAATTGAGAGTCTGCATGAAATCAACAAGATACAGAAATATTTAGCATTGCATCTCAGTTTCTGTTAAGTACTTTCAAAAGCTATTTTTTAGCATAAAAAATGCTTAATATAGAAACAGAAGTTGACTTCTTGATTTTTGTCCTGAAAATTTTCACTGTTACAAAATTAGACACATATGAAAAAAGGTTTGTGTTAAATTCCTCCACACGTAAACCATTTGTCATCCATTCACATACTTTTACACTTTACATCTTTACCAAAAATCGTGTGATGTCTGATCCGTGCTTTGATGCCAGAGATTGTCTTCTCACCTGGCTTCTTTCTTTGGCTTGTCTGGCAGTTCGCTAAAGTTAAAAATACACATGCATACATATGTTAGGAAAAAACTGGCTACAGAAGCTCAAAAACTCTTTGTATTCTATTAGTCTGGAAAAATCTACATTATCACCATACCCACTTACCAGTGCTTTTGCATTAGGGGGCTCCCCATGCCACAAGGCAGAGGCCCCCAACCACTCAGGAAAGTGCTCAGCATCGGCCCTAGGTTGCCTACGACCAGATTCTGAAGACAGCACACAGCTGTGGGGAAGTTTTGATTCTGCTCACATGAGTGGGAGATCAGAAGGCATCTTGGATTTCCCGGAGTCCCCAAATTGTCCAAAAACACCTTCAGTACACCTACCTTATTTTCTAAAGCATCTTTTCAATAAAGATGGCTGGCTAAAAAATAAAAAGCCCCCACTTCCTATTTTCTGGGCCTAGAAACCATTCCCAACTCAACAGCCAAGCCAATACAGACGATATATCTCAACGCACAATAAGATAGAGCAGAGCTGGAGTCTTCTTACCCTCCTACAAATAAAAAATTTTCAGGAAAATCTAAAAAGTAATTAGAGTCTTCTTTTTCTTTTGCTATTTCTTAATTTTCTTATAAGTCTTGAATTTGTTAATGATTTGCATAGCTGACAAGGCCATGTACATGTGAAGTGAGTCAGGTGGAAGAGGTGGGGAGAGAAAAGAAGGATAGAACTAAAAGAAAGCAAAACTGCCTATAGGACATGATCCCATTTATGTAAAATTATGTTTGAGAAGAGATTATGGAATCTAAATATTAAAAGAAGACCACTAAAGAGATCATTCATTATAGACAATGGCAAAGGATCTGAACAGTACTCGAAAGAGTAAATAAAACTGATCATCATTTTAAAGAGACATCAGTTTCTTTAGTAAACAATGACATGCCATTTTTCTCCCACCACATTGGTACTCATGGTGCAGTTAAACGGGCATGCTCGTTCATTGCCGATTTGGCGGAATATAATCTGGTATAATTCTTTGGTGATAAATTCCTACAGTCTCAAAATATATCCAAGCACTTTGACTCAGTGATTTTGGATCTGAGAATCTATGTTAAGGAAATAGTTCAAAATGTAGAAAACAGTTTAGTATACAAAACGTGTCCTTGGCAACATTATGCATATGAGCAAATAAATGGAAACAACATAAATGCCATCAGTATGAGAATGACTAAGTAAACTATGGCAGAGATCTACTCAACAGAATATTCTGCAGCCATTTTGGATGACAAATATTATGAATGGCTGAAGAATATGGGAAAAATTGAACATATACTTCTTTCAAAGATTATCTCAACAGGTAGGTTCTACCGCCTTTTGCTGGACTGCTTATTAAAAATCTATCCTGGTAGAGGCGGGGCCAAGATGGCAGAGTAGTCAGATGCTTCCGGTGGACCTTCTTACAACAAAGACCCGGAAAAACAAGTGAATCAATTATATATGACAATCTAGGAGCCCTGAAAATCTAAGGCAAAGCTGAGGAATTGGACTGAGTGGCAGGGGGAGAGAGATACGGTTCAGAAGCAGCGGAGGAGTTGCAAGACCTGACCTGGCGAGAGCCTGAGCCCATCAGGCCTAATCAGCTCATCGGTGAGCGGTGGGGCAGGCAATCAGCCGTGTTCGGGAGGCATGTTTTCCACACCGGGAGAGACCCAGCCGCTGAGAGTCTATTTGGCCACCCAGAACCAGTGAGAAACAGCCCTCAAAGGCAAAAGATAAGTACTTGCGTACAGCCTACTGCGCAGATCAAAAACAGCCCCCTTTGGGGAAAACCTCTTTCCCATTTACCTTCCCGCTCCCTGCTCTGCACTGGGTCCTGGACAGCCTTCAGCAATTGCTGAGTCCCCTGGGCTGGAAGTAGGATCCGTCAGTGGAGTCATTCTCCCGGCCTTGGAGAGTGAACAAATTAACAAACAGGGGAAACAATAAACTGCCAGCTCCCCTAAGCCAGGAACCCAGGGTAGGCACATCTCCTTTGCCTAGGCACAGGCATAAGGGATCCACGGACTCTGAGTGTCTCTCCCCCTGCAGAGACTTGTGTGGGCCCATATCGACAGTGTAGGCCCTCATTATCACAGTACAGCAGGGTATATATCTGAAGTCTAACTTGAACTGTTTCACCTGTGCAGTGGCAGGTTCGTGACATTTGACACTGCTCTGCCCAGTAAGCAGGTCTTCACCTACCCACATTAGGGGTCTGAGGACTGGTGGCTCCACCCATGCCACCTAGCCACTTGCGATAGGGGCCCAAGAATAAGAGGTGCACCCCAGTCCTTACAGCCAACAGCATTGGGTGCTCATAGTCCGGCTGCAAAACCCACCCACCTACAAGTTCTAGGGAACAGGGACACGCCTTCCTCCTGGACACTTGTGGGCGGCTGTCAGCCACCTCTCTTGCTCAGAGTGTGTCCCCCTGCTGCAACCAGATGCCTGAGCCTAAGCCAATCACCCGTGCCTGTCTAGTTCTGTAGGTGAGAGCCTACAACACATACTTGGTGCCTATCTACTTGAGCACCTGAGCTGAATCTACACAGCAGGAGTGGGTGGAATCCTGAGCTCACATACCTAGTAACAGATCTAACCACCAGGTGACAGGACATTAGAGCTTCAAAGGTGTCAATAATCAAACTAGCTCATACAAGCAGCCTATTTGGGCATATCAAAACAAAACAAGAAGCTAGGACACAGTAAGCAAACAAATAAATATAAAAACATATTGATGGCTCGGAGACAACAGTCATTATCAAATCACATAAAGAGGCAATCCATGATAGCTTCAGCAAGCTCCCAAAATAAAGAAACTGGAAATTTTCCAGAGGAGGAAAATTTCTTGGAATTACTGGAGGCAGAATACAGACGTCTTCAAGAAACTACGAAGGAAATTAAGCAAAACACAGAACATGCAATAGAGGAAATTAAAAAGATTAGAGAAGAACATAATGACAAATTTAACAGGCTGCAAGAATCCATAGAGAGATAGCAATCAGAAATCCAGAAGATTAAAAATAAAATTTCAGAATTAGACAACTCAATAGAAAGTCATAGGAGCAGAACTGAGGCAACGGAAGTTAGAATTAGTGAGATTGAAGATAAAGCACTTGACACCGACTTATTTGAGGAAAAATCAGAAAAAGGATTAGAAAAAATGAAGAAACCCTAAGAATTATGTGGGACTCTATCAAGAGGAATAACCTACGAGTGATTGGAGTACCAGAAAAGGAGGGGATAACAGAAAATACAGAGAGAATTGTTGAAGATTTG